AGTTAAAGTGTGTGTGTGTGTGTGCGTGTGTGTGTGTGTGTGTGTGTGTGTGTGTGTTTGTGTGCGTGTAAATGAAGTAGGCCTGTCCATACAGATTATCTCTTCTCACACGCACATGCGCACACACACAGACACACACGCTAGAGCATTTAGGGCCAGCAGCCTGTGGGTTTAATCATGATGTGGGCTCAACTGGACTGGACGGTTGCTGCTTCAGCTACTCGCCAACAGTGTTTTAGTTTGTTGCACCATGATAACGCCCTTTTCAGCAGAGCTCTTCTATATTTTAGTTCAATCTAATGAGGTGAGTTCTCTGCCTTCAAAACAAGATCATCCTCAATATGAAGCATCCCTAACTAGCAAGTGTCTAACATATTACCCTGCTGGAGCTCTGGATGAGCTGCTTGCTGTAGAAAATGTTTTTTGTCAACACAGCTTTAGGGTTGATTACTTTTTTTTTCAAATACAGATGCAAATATGACTTTTTAGAAATTACACTATTTGGCCTCAGGAAGCACCAAAAATACAGTCAACTGGATATTTTAATAAGAATCTTATCTCCCCACACTGCAGCTGCAAAATGACAAAATTTCAAGCTCAACTGCAGCTATCCTTGCTCAGCAAATTTGCCTCCAACACCATCCATGTGTACACGCCACACTGAACCTTCCACTATTTTGAGTTTCTTGAAAACAGTTTCACCCCTCTGAGGGTTTCTGCAACATTCTGATTTAGCTAGAGCACTGACTGGTCCGTACACTGTTGGCTACCGGGCAGCACATTATATTGTCAGTTATCTGACAAGAACCCCCCCACACACACACTTCATGTTACTGTTTATCAGTTGATAATGATGTGTCTATGTTGTGTTCAACTTGTTTCGACTGTCCCCAAATGGCCATAAAAGTCAGCTATTGTAGGTTTTTCATTCACTTTTTGTCAAACTGAAGTGAAAGGAGTTTATTTATACCATCATCAAATTTTATTTTAGAGATCAAGTGTGTAACATTTAGGAGGATATTTTAGCAGAAATGGAATTTGATATTAATAGGTGTGTTTTCATTTGTGTATAATCACCTGGAAATAAACCTAAAACTACGTTTTGTGTGAGTTTCACAGCCACCGTTGTTTCTCCTACATGCTTGGAAAGGGAAGGTGAGGCAAGGGGGTTGCAATCTGCAACTTCACCGCTAGATGCCACTAAATCCTACACACTGGTCTTTAAGCAGTTTTCACTGTAGTCAATGTCTAGTTTTTGTGTAATTATTAGGAACAACACCGACTGGTACATTTTTTCCAAGGCTATTTGACAGTAAGTGTAACTGACATTATAATAACCCTGAGTTATGAGGTAATGAATAACAATGAATGAACACGTAAATAGAAAAATAAATTAAATTAATCTAAATAAAACCTGTGATGCAGCGTTCTACATGTTCTTACTAGTATAGCAATGACATTTATTAAAATCAGCTGCTGATAATTCAAGCTTCTGTGTTTTTGTATCTCAATTTATGATACGTTTAGTCAGCAGAAAGAGAGACACTCACCTCAATGACACGTGAATCAAAGTCCTTATAGGTTTCTGTGGAGAGAGTAGTAAAGAAAGGAAGACGCTTAGATAAAATAAAAAAAAGCTTTTTACACAGACACACTCACACACACTTTAAACAGATTAAACCAGGCTCCTGCTAGCGTAACAAATACCCAGAAGCCCTTGCAGCAATGTAACGAGTTGACACTTTTCATTGTCAGTGACCTCTGAAGGATGTTACTCTCCCAACAGCAGCCTGTTCACTTCTAAGCAATTAACAACAAACAAAGGAGAGCTGACTCAAAGGCTCAGAGCAGAAAACAAACACACACACGCACAGCTCTCAACTGGGACATTAGCTCACCATCTGTAAGAAACTAAACCCGATCAGAGACGAGCAACCTAGTTACAGCTCTCTGAACATCACATTCACCAGGCGTGTATTTATGTGTGAGTGAGAGCGACAGTGTGTCTGTGTGTGTGTGTGTGTGTGTGTGTGTGTGTGCGTGTGTGTGTTGAAGGAAGTGTTTGTAAATGTAGGAGAGAGAGCGCTAGCGTATTTTACGGTGTGAGATTTTGTTAGCACAACAACAAGAGAGGAAATAAAATAAAAAGACACAGCAAGAGGAGGGAGAAAGAAGCAAGAAAATCTGCTTTGCGACGACAGAGTCTCGTCTCTCATCTCATGACAGCAAAGGCCAAGGCTGGGAACAGGAGGCTAGCAGCCTCAGTGAATCAGGTGAATTTGAACCAGCTGTGTTCCTCTGGGTTTGTAATGAAGAGCTGATTAGCCTGCAGATGCACCTTCCGAGACTGTGCACAACATTACACTCAACCTTCAACCTAAAGTCCTGATGTAAACCCTCCTGCTCCACGAGGCACGGCTGGAAAGAAGGCGATGAGGGAAACTGATGATCTTGGGTCTTCTTCTGAATACTACTCAAACTTGACCATTTATATGGCTACACTAAAGGCTCAAAGAATTAATCAGTGGGTCTTTATTGTCTCCGAAAGGCAATTTGTTGTACAGCTGGCCAGGGACAGGGACCAAGTGTTGTGCATTCAGCCACACCTAAATTAAATGGAATCATTATTATTACTGTTATTAGTTACACTGGCTGCTTTTTATGGCCCCCCCAGGGTCAAAAGGTAGAAAAATATATTTAGTGTATACTTAAATAAATATGAACTGATTTCTAAACTGTGTGAATACACAGACGATATTCCAGTTGGGAAACAACCAGGAAACAAGAAGGAGCTTTACTTTGGCCTTGAGTTGCTGCTGCCTTTATTCCCTGACAAACTGTAACCTAAACTGTACACTTACTGCCAGATTGACAACTTCACTGCTCTCTTTTCCTCTTTACTGCTCGCTCTCTCTCCGTTTCTCTCACTACGCACACAAAAATACGCTGCTACTCTTATAACATATGAAGGAATGGTGTTCTTGATACGTCTGCACTTCATCAATTGACCATGGCGTGCTTTTGCTGTCTGCCATTTTTGAGGGACAAACTAAATTGTGGTCATTATTACAATAAGTAGTCTACAGTGTTTTCACGTCAACTTTTAGTATCAGCTCAGCTCACTTGGAAGCTCAAACGAGCTGATAAAAAAAATATGTGCCAGGTACTGTACATAAAGGAAAACCAAAAACAAGAGAGTAGTCGAGTCGAGCCGTACCACATGGTGAAAAAGCAGCTTAATTTATAACGTGTCCTCTTCTGTATGCTGTACGTAACAGAGTGACCATTAGCCAGTCAGAGCAGTGCATAGTCCCAGTTTTTCTTCTGAAAGCCAGATGCATATTGCAGAAGCATTACTTCAAAATGTCCCTGAAAACCACATGCTCAGTTTAGAAATCTGTTTTTTAATGTATTCGCTTGGTTTACCAATCCATCCACAGCGATTTTTATGCCAATATTTTTTCTACCATACCACCCCCGGGGTATACATAGATTTCCGCTATCAT